AAAAGTAGTTTTTATCCTGCCCTATAGTGGGACATATATAATCTTCATCATCAAGGTACACAGCTTTGAAAACACGTACTTGGATAGCCTTCTGAAGGGTTTAGTTTTAATGAGATCAGGTTTCTTTGTCCTGGTGCAGTCTTGAAATACTATGAAAATCAGTGAAATAAAATAAGAATTAATGAGATCATAATCTGAGACTTATATCTGAAGTTCGGCATTTGAGGAGGTGTATGTGTGTGTCTGCGTGTGTGTGATAGTCCCTGAGGGACCGTGGGTCTATGTCTTGGTGTGAGACAATTTATAAAATACTCTGGAATGAGTTGTCTCCTCTACAGGTTTAACCAGTCCTTTTCCACCAATAAGTAACGAATGCAAGTAGAGGTAAGTGAAAAAACTTCAGTTTACTAAGAAGCGTAACAGCAACAGGCAAAAAATAACAAAATTGCTATATCCCGAGAACAAAGCGAGACCCAAAAATGCTGGGGACATCTCCCCTCCGCCCCCTCCTCCAGGGTGGTGCTCTGCGTGGTTCCAAGGACAAAGGGAAAGCTGGTGTGAGCTTTCCTCTTGCCCCCTGCCCGCTCTGCTCATCTCCCCGACTGCTGGAGCCCCGGCTGGCATTCTCTGGATCAAGGGGCTAGAGCTCGGGAAGGGACTTAACCTTCTTTGCGGCAGGAGACAGCAGGACAGGCAGAACAAAGCAGCTGTCCCGGGCTGTGTCCACTCTCGGTTTGCTGTCCCGGGCTGCTTCCCTGTCCGTGCGTGTTCGGGAGCGCTTGCGCCGCAGTGGGGCAGCCTCGCTGGGCAGCAGCAGGCGCGCTCCTGTGGAAATCGCCCCAAGGCAGCCTCTCCGAGATGAGAAAACAGGAAAAAAAAAACAGAAAGGAGAACCCAAAAACTCTGCCTTAGAAAAGACCAAACAGCCAGCCAAGCAAACAGCACACGGCAAAAGGCAGGAAGCTGCCCGGGAGGCCCAGTTTTAAGAACGCCCCTAAAAGCACCCCCCACACACAAAGTTCTAGCTTGCAGGGTCTTAAAGATACAGGAACAAGCTTTGCGCATAGAAAGATGTGGAATGTAAAGACATTATGGATTACTCCAGGACAGTCTATAAACTGTTGAATTAATTACACTTACCCTTGTAAGTGGCGTTGTTCACCTATGACCGATATAGTGTGGGTGATGTTCCTTATGAAGCAATCCAAGTATAATTCAATGAATTTCTAAATCAAATAAAGATTATGTCTAAATTATGTTAGCTATTTAAGAATGTGACATACTTTTCCCTCTACACTTATACACTTATAATACATTTATTTCTTAATGTAACTAAGCAGTTTTAAAATTCTTTGAGGCCAAGAAAAGGGCTGCTTTCACCTAAGTCTTTGTAGTCCTAGGTGCTTAAAAACATCTGTATGGTCTTCTCCATGACTTGGGAGAGAAATAATGAGTGTGAAAGGAAACAACCAAAGCCCTTTACTGCCGGGTTTGCATTGAAACCTTCCTGTGTGTGCAGGTTGGTTTATACCTTAGCTCCACGTGGTTTCAAAAGTGGTGAGAATGGACCATCACCATTCTTCATTCTCTAACAGAATTTCTTTGAAATAGTTTCACACAGAATCATGACATCTGAGTTCTGTTTAAACTACTGCCATGAACTACTTGCAACTGTAAGCAAGCCATGTAGTCACTGATTTCCCAGCCACCTGAATGTTTCTTCAGTTTTATTCATAACTCCACTTTTTTAGCCTTCCAAAGGACAGCCCCAAACACCCCTGGAGAGATGCGTTTTGAGTGTTTTCTATAGTGTAGAGCAAAGGGTAGAGTCCATAATACACAATGAATCTTCCTCTGAGTCCCACAGGAAGCAGAGATGGTAAGTGGTGGGTTGACCATGGCTGGATGGCAGGCACCCACCAAAGCTGTTATATCACTCCCCTCTGCAGCTGGACAGGGGAGAGAAAATATAACAAAGGGTTCATGGGTTAAGATAAGGACAGGGAGATATCACTCACCAATTACCATCACAGGAAAAGAGACTTGGAGATGTTAATGTAATTTATTACTAACAAAATCAGAGCAGGATAATGAGACGTAGAATAAATCTTAAAACTGCCTCTGCTTCTCTCTCCTTCCCAAACTCTATCTCCTCTGCTTTAACAGTGCAGGGAGATGGGGAATAAGGGTTACAGTCTGTTCGTCACAGGTTGTTCCTGCCACTGTTCTCAGGAAGAAGAGTCCTTGCCCTCCTCCAGCATGGGGTTCCTCCCACAGGAGACAATCCTCAACAAATTTCTCTACCCTGAATCCATCCCGTGGGCAGCAATTCTCCACCAACTGCAACGTGGGTCACAGTTCTGCAGGGTTAGCAAGTCCTACCTGCTTCAGCAAGGTCTTCTCTGTTCATGGGTCTGCAGGTCTCTACCAGGACTGTGCTCCAGCATGGGTTTCCCACAAGGTCACAGCCTCCTCTCAGGCATCCACCCTCTCCAGACCAGGTCTCCTTCCCAGGCTGCAGGTGTGACAGCCCCGTGGATATCCATGGGCTGCAGGGGCACAGCTGCTTCACCATGGTCTTCATCTGGAGCTAGAGAGAAATCTCAGCTCTGGCACCTGAAGCACCTCCTTCCCCTCCATCCCCACTGTCTGCAGAGCTGTTCCTCTCACATTCACTTCATTTCCCCCTGGCTGCAATAACATCTGTGCAATATATATTTTTTATTTCCTTCTTAATTGTGTTGTCACAGAGGCATTACTATCACTGCTGGTGGGCTCAGCCATGACCAGCGGTGGGTCCATCCTGGCTGGAATTGGCTCAGCCAGATGCAGGAGAAGCTTCCAGCAGCTTCTCCTAGAAGCCAGCTCTGTAGCCCACCCACTTCCAAAACCTGGCCGTGCAAACACATTACAGTAAGATGCAACTTCGGAAGCCTTATAGAGAAAAGTGATGGTTGAGTTGTGCTAGCATGAGGTAAGTGCTGCATGGACCCAGTTCCCAGTGGAGCAAGTGTTTGACGCAGTGTGTGTGAATGAGAATGAATCAGTGGCAGAGGTGATGCTGTGAGAGAAGAGGCTGCCCAGCAGCATGACTGTGTGCAAAATGGATGCTGTATTGTAGACTGAGTTTTCAGCTGAGATTTGATGCTGAGGCTTGCACTACAACACTGAAAGCTGAAAATCCACAGCTTAGTCTTTTGAAGTCCTTGACTTCACAGATAGGCTTCTGAGGAAAATTGCAATCTCAGCTACAAAAATTTGCCAGGACAGTTGATCAGGATTTGAGGTGCTTTATGGAGGAAAACACAGGAATATAGGAAAATAAACTGCAAGATTTTGCAAACAATATACACATGCATTTTGTTTACAGTTTGAAATATCTGTGTGTCATTGGAAAATTTTATATTGTTTACTTAAAGTTGATGTGTGGATCAGTGATGAAATTACAGGACAGATCAGCTAGGCAAAATAAAATCCTGACAAAATGAAAGGAGCATCCATGCCCAAAGTATCAAAGCTCAGCTTAGAGCAATGTGGTATGGAATTAAAAAGTTGGTGTTGTGCACCAGCATCTAGGACACATCACAGGATGGTACAGAGCAGAGTCTGCCTCTACTCAGGTGTAATTTGCTGGCAGATTAAGAGGCAAATTTAGCATAAAGCTTTTGGACATATAGTGCATACAACTGCTTCATTCTGTTTCCATTTTATTCTGTGATAGGAATTCTATGCCTTTACTGGTAACTAGAAAAGTTCCAAAGGTAAGAAGCGTGTCCAGGCTGCTCCTGCCTGGACTCATGAGAGGTCAGGCACTGGGACCTAGTGCCAAGGAGGGCAATATTTTTTGTGTGGATTTACTGACTTTTCTATTGAGCTGCATGCAAGAATGCCAATGCCCACGCATGAACCCTGTTGGATCAGCTCTGAGCTGAGGAGTCTGTAGGAACTAGAGCTGGAACAGGGAGAGAGAGTAGTAAAAATAAAATAAATAGCAAAAAAAAAAAAAAAAGAAAAAACCTAGACAACTTAGGCAGCAGGAATGACCAGTCCTTGGGCAGGCAAGTATGTGATGATGCTGAGACCTGCATCAGGAGAAGGCAGGGAGGCAGAGAGAGGCCACAAAGCCCCAAGTGCAGGTGTGCTGGGGTAACGTGTGGATTGAGGATACAAGTAGTAATGTGCAGAGTTTACCTTAAATCTCCCAAACATTAATTTCAGAGCAGTTGGCTTCACAGTCTCAGTAGTTTTTTGAATGTAGTCTTCAGTATACAATATAGATAGACTTGAAAATTAGAATTTATGGCATATGGAAAAGCAATAAGTGGTGGTTTTAGCACTCTGACTTGGTATTAAATGTGACTTAAGGACCAGTGAGGTATCTCTGTTATCTGCATGATCAGCAAATGCATGTTTGATTGGTTCAGGAGCAGTTGAGGTAATATGATAGGTTAATGTACAGCTGTAGCAGTCTGATAGTGCAGTGTTTTTATTGATTGTCTCACTTAATGCACCGGAGTATTAAGTTTGCTTGTCACAGTGCTTAGTTCCTGGGGTAGTTGAGCAAGTTACTTTTCCACTGAGTTGATCCCAAAGTCCCAGAGTCTTTCAATCAAACTCTTTAAATTTCATACACTGGCAATTCCTTTCCTTTCCTAATGGGCTGTATTAAAGAAAATGTGTCACCTTTTGCACCGTGTAATACTAAATCAGATCAGAATTCATGCACAATTATGTCAATGGAAATATAATATTACAGACCTGCTTATCTCAAGATAGCACACGGAAAAATAAACTTCCACAGCTGACAGATTTACTTGATTCTGCAGATAAGTTATTTGTAAGTAATTGAGCTGAGAAGTGTATATGGATTATTTTAATCCATATCAAAATATATAAGAAAAAATACTAATACATATTTAAGTATTGTTTCTTTCTTCTTTATCTTTCTCCTATTTCCTTTCTCTTTTTTATTGGTCTGCTCAGGTGCTAAGGTAACTAAGTCTAGGATGGGAAAAACAGATTTTATCCTAGCAAACTGGTATTGTTCTGAAGGCTAGCAGTTTTANTCTTTTTCATATTTTCTTGGTCTGCTCAGGTGCTAAGGTAACTAAGTCTAGGATGGGAAAAACAGATTTTATCCTAGCAAACTGGTATTGTTCTGAAGGCTAGCAGTTTTAGGGAAACAAAATGGATACCATTCCTTTATGTGATGTCATAGATATTTTAATGCCAGAGTAACAGAGAGCTCAGAGAAATTAATTCTACTGAAAGAGTATTGCTTTCAGTTAGTCTTTAGCAGAGTGAATGAGTCAAAAGACCATTGCTAATTTGAAACTTTCTTGCCATCAGAAATAGTAACTTAAGATCAATTACTCAGCAGATGCACCTTTTAGTATTTTACACAGAAGAGTGGTACAATTCCTCTTACCCTCAGTATATTAGCCAGTGCCTTGCTATGTCTTTAATGCATGGTATTAGCTATAATTCAAAATTAACTATGGAAAAGCAATTTGTTGACCTTTATTTATTGTTTGATTAAAAATTTAAATACCAACAGGAGAAGAGTAGGTGGAAATTCTTTGTAATGCTTTCTCTGCTGCTAATTTGTAGTTGGATATTCTTTTTTAATTTGTAGAGAATTTGAAATTTGTGTATCTGTTTGTGTATACCAAAGCGTCTTCTTTTGTATTTTCTGTACTCATAGGACTGCTTTCCTTCTCACTCTTAAAGAACAAATGCTACCTGAATATTTTAGATCAATACACAGCATATAGTGAAGATCAAGAAGCAGTTTACTCAGCTATTTTTCTGAAGTATAATACACACCTTTGCATTTTGATAGAAGAATGGTTTGCATAGTAATAGTTGTGGCTTCTCTACAGTCTATTAAAGATTAAGATTTTATAGTCTGTTCAGGGAATTCTTTACGGTGCATTATCAGAAATAACATTATATGATGTTATAGACCAAGAGCCAGTTTGCTACTAAATATTTGTTTCAAGGAGTTCTTACATTGTGTAATCCTTTTCACTCATCTTCCTCAGGATATATTGATTCAGAAGAAAATGTATTTTAACACCGTGATATTTTTAGAAAGAAAAACTTCATGCTGAATTTTGAAGTCTTAATGCATAAATACAGAAACGTCATTCCCTGAAAACGCTAAAGATTTTTTTCCCCAGTGAAATGTTGTCTGTTTATTGAACATTGGAGTTTCTTGGTTTTTGATACTGGCTGCCTTTGAAAGGAAACCACAGTTTGATCTGTGGCTGTGTTTTCCTCTAATGTCAGTTAGACTATTTGGAACTACCATAATGCCGAAAAGGCCCAATCAAAAACTAGCAGATTGAAAAGCAGCACTTCACTATTGAAATTCCCCAAAAGAATTTGGTGAGAAACACCTTAGTAACACAGCTGTTTGACAAGGCATCTTTGTATCTGGTCAAACGACAGCACAACCCATCAGGAGCCTGCTTGGAGAGTAATACAGGGAAAATTCAGCAAATTTTGTAATTCAAAATTAATGTTTTTATTAAGGACCTAAGGTGTCACTGCAGATAAACTGCAGATAAACACTGTCTATTGAGTTTATAAAAATACTATTGGCTTTTAAAAGCAGGTCAGCATTACAGTGCAAGGAAAAGTTGAACAATATACAAAATTTTATGAAGTATGTAGAACAAAACTGCATTTTTTCTGGATTACCAAATCAGAGTAGTTACAAAATGCGGACAATAATTGTGTAGGGTTTGAGTAATACATTTTTCATAATATGAACATGAAAAACATACAGAAAAAATAGTATTACCTCTTAAAAACCACTAAAATTAAAGAATCTGCAGTCAGTGACATCCTACACTGTATTCTTATTTCACTGTTTCTGCACTGTTTCTTGAATAGAGTAATTTGTAAGGATGATGCCTATAATGGCTTCCAGAGAGTCAAGAAAGGATTTATTTCATCAAGGGTGAAACTTTAGTTTCAGCAGAACTCTGTTACAATCATGCTCTTACAATATCCTGCTTTGCTTTTCCCATCATAGGTGGAGGGGGGTTAGTCAAGGAAGGGAAGCACTCCAACACTACCTTGACCTTCTTGAAGTGTTGTTCTTGCCCTTTGAAGATGTTGATAACACCCAGGTACTATACTTTTCTTCAGGCCACTCTCAATATCGCTGTTTAGAGTTGTATCCCAAAAAAGCGTATAAGGACACAAGGCAGGGGCATAGCCAGAGCTCCGACACAAGGTTATAAAGTGTGATATACTAGACGTGTTACCTGTTCTTAGGATGCTGAAAAGTGTTTGTGCTTAGGAAAGCTTTATTTTCTTCTATTTCTGTCCTTTTTTCCACAAATAATTTGTCCTACTCTTACACTCTAGGAGAAAATTGAAACTCTGATTATATACATTAAATTATCTCTACCATAAACTACATACACTTCACAACGTTTAGTTGTTTTACAGGTTGAGGTGCTTATTTAAACCTCTTCAGTGGTGGTTGAGGTTTTTAAAATGTTGATTGAAAGTAGTTACTGCAAGGAAAATTGAATGTGGTGTGGATGAGATTAGAGCACAGTGCTGCAAAAAACTAACCTTCTGTTTTGCTCCATAAGATTAGTCACAGTGGGGAGGGGAAAGTTCAGTGCAGCTGTGACACTGGAATCAGCCAGGGGATTTCTACAATGTAAATGGGATATAGAAAGAGTTGGAAACACAGGGCCGTGCAGAAAGGTGTAATAGTTAATAGCCTCTTGTCACTGAGCAGATCTCAACCCTTCTGACATTGGAATCACCTTCTCTGGAGCAGATAATTTTTCTACCTCCTGTTTCAAGGTAGACTTGTCCTCTGAGAATGCTGAGACCCAGCAGGCTCTACTCTTACAGGTGCCCCCTTCCATTTCTAGGGCAAACAACAAAAAAAATCTTAATGATGGTAACTATTTATTAATATTAATAATATTACATATTAAAGTCAGTAGAGTTACTAGTAAAGAGGTTTAGCCATCTCTCAGTGGTGGGGAGCAATCTCAAAGACAGCCCTGGAAGGGCGCCCACTCAGACTGTGCTATCTCAAGGATTTTCCCTACATTCCCTTTGCATTATCATAACACAGCAGGGGTGTCTTCCAGATACAGGAGGGAAATGTTTTGCACACTACACACATCCATGCTCCCCTGGTTTGGAGTAAGGCTTGTTAGTAAATTGTCTTGTTTTCTCTCCTTTGTAGCACTGCATTAATATTTTCCACCACATTAGTATTTTCAGCTTTACAGGAATCAAGAGCATTAAAGTCAAAACAAAGGTGGTGAGATTTTGGGGCCAAGGCAGTGCAGTAGGGTGTCCTGTGGGAGCTCTGTGCTTGGGAATGCCAGCTTCTACAGAGCTTGAAGTCCGAGTGAGGGTGAAACCTAATATCTCAGGAGGAGGAAGAAATTACTGCATAGTACAGAGTGACTGGTAGTTAGCAGATTTCTGCTAAAAAAGTAAGCAAGCACAAACACCCCCACACCACCACCACTCCTGCCCTCCCCACTGCTGTATTTTGATTTGTAAAAAAAAGGTTCTCATGTGATTTTCAGTTTGAGATAGAAGATATTTAGGTATTCAGACTTCGTCTCTTCCCTGCAAACACCAGAGCTCTTCTTACATGTTTGGTTTGAACATGCGATTATACAACTGTGTAGTAAAAATGAACCTATTTCAAAGTGTGGATTGGCAGAGTTCACCTGAAGAAGACATAAAATAGATCTTATGACATCAGGATTGGTGCCAGTGATTAGTGTTGCAACCATGGGCATGCCAGCCATTCTCTTAGTCTCAGTTTTCATAACGAGAAAAAGATTATACAATAAAATTGAACATTTATTCACCTAGGATGGAAATGGTTAGCCAAAAGTGTATTTTCAAGGTTTTTTCCTTCTAAAAGAAATCAGTACTGTCATTGGAAAACGCTTTTGTGACCCTGTTTGTTCAGAAAGTTCATAGGAAGTTTATTTTTACTATGTGGTTGAAATGTTTTCATATCTGTACAATCCTTTATAGAATGTAGTGGATAATATTTCTCAGTACCTTTTGTCTAGGCTAAAATGTCAGAAGTTTCATGATTCTGTCCACTGATTTCTTGTTCTACTACCACTCCTCTGAAATGTTTAAACAAGTCTGCAAGTCCCTCAAACAGTAAATAGGAAAGGTTTCAGCTAATAGAATAACACAGAATAGTTTCGATTAGAAGGGGCCTTTAAGATCATCCATGTGTATATTGTCTGTACTTAATTTTCATAGTAAGTTTTGCTCTGCATTCTGACTCAGATTTGTGTTCAGGTTCCAAAAGATGTTTTTAAAGTGTCATATTTTTGTGTGAAATGATGGGTAGTTATCCTACCTACTAGGAAAATGATGGTATATGTATTTAATTTTAGTGTTAGTTTTATTAAGTTTTTCATACTAATGCTACTTTGTCAGCAAGGTCCACTAGTGAATTTTCCATTGAATGAGAAAAAAAATTTACTTTTATCAGCTTTATTTCTGCCTTTCAAGTTCTTGGAACATTTCTCTCTACAGTCTTATGAGAGCAATTAAGAGTCTCAATTTACTTTCCCTAAACCATTCATTATTTTGAGTATCTTGATTATATTCATTCATCTTCTGTGTAAATTAAAATGTCCTAGTACTTTTTGTTGTTCATTGTCTTAATTTTCCTCGCATAATTTTCATTATTTGAAATATCGTCTGCTTTTATGAATCTGCTTTTTTATTTTTTGATTTGGATTCAGTACTTTAGCTGAAATTATTAGGCTTATACAATGGCACTAAGTAAACTACTAGTGTTAGTAATTCAATTAACTTCACTATATTCCTCAGAAGTTTGACAACAGATCTTGAAATAATTATGTCACCTCCAGACTGGGCATCTCAACCTTCCTTCTTTTTGATCTAGATTTATAAATATGTTACACATCATCTCAATAAATCTTTACAATTAATCTTTCAGCGTGTGTATATATATATATAATATGCTCTTTCACTTCTTTCTCCTTGCATAGTCATTTTGA